CTCCAGCAGCACCTGAAGGAGAGGCGGATGAGGGGCACCGCCACCCTCGTGGCCATCGGGGACTTCATGGGTGCCTCCTCCCTGGCCATGTCTCCAGGCTGTCACCCTCAGGCAGAAGCCCCCTGGTCTATGCTGAGGTATGACGAGGAGGCGCAGAGGTGGCTGCCCCTGGCCAACAACCTGCCCCCTGATCTGGTGAACGTCCGCGGCTACGGGTCGGCGATGCTGGACAACTACCTCTTCATCGTGGGGGGCTACAGGATCACCAGCCAGGAGATCTCGGCCGCCCATTGTTACAACCCTTGCCTAAATGAATGGAGTCAGCTGGCTTCCATGAACCAGAAGAGGTAACTCTTACTCTCTGAAATACACGTGTGTCCATATGAACCAGAAGAGGTAACCCTTACTCTCTGAAATACACGTGTGTCCATGTATGCTCGCCAAGCAGACCCTGTTGAGTCACGTGGTGTTGACTGGCCTCAAGGTTACCAGAAGTGAGTCAGACCTGTCTCTGTGCCCTGAATCACCCGTGGCTTGCATCGTGCGGTGGGAAGGACCCACAGTGCTTGGTGGTGGCTTGGCAGCAGCCACCGGACAGGCATGGCAAACCTTGTCTTTACTGGCAACAGTCATCCCACCGCAGCACCAGGCTGCTGCCTCTCTCCTGCTTTGGGGAGCTGCTGTGGCAAGGGAAGGGTTATGAGGATGGGACTTTGTTGTGTAAGTGCTGGTAGTTAAGGCCTGAGGTGTGGGAGAACATGAGCAAGGCATCAGCAGAGGAGGACTGTGCCACAACCCTCCGCCATAACCTTGTCTTTACTGGCAACAGTCATCCCACCGCAGCACGAGGCTGCTGCCTCTCTCCTGCTTTGGGGAGCTGCTGTGGCAAGGGAAGGGTTATGAGGATGGGACTTTGTTGTGTAAGTGCTGGTAGTTAAGGCCTGAGGTGTGGGAGAACATGAGCAAGGCATCAGCAGAGGAGGACTGTGCCACAACCCTCCGCCATATGTGGTCATTCACCTTGGGGTGAAATGGTGGTGGGCTCCCACTTTTCCTTTAAATTGTAGTACACAAGGAGCCAGCCTCTCCAAACAGCGTCTTGCTGGTAGTAGAAATTCTCTTTGAAATAACAAGGATTAAAAAAACCAAACAAACAACAAAGATAATGTTATTCTCCTACTTTCTTTGTGGTATGTTTTAACTCCGGTACTGTAAGTGTCAAGTTTTCCTGCTCATGGTGGGACATGTGATCTATCAGGGCTGAAGATGGCTGAAAAAACATAGTTGGAGTAGTTTTTCTTTGGTTTGTACATTCATAAAAATCTGAATGTTTTGTAGGCCTGCATTTCAGTGACATATTCCCCAGAAAATTATCAGGAAGATTGTGAAAAATTTCTCACTTTATGAGAATATTTGGATTTGGGAATCATTCATCACTGTGAACATTTTGGTTTTGTTTCTTTATCCTTTCGAATTGTTTGTTTGACATTTTTGTTGAAGTTAGTATTCAGAAACACTTGTGTAATTTACATTTGAAAGAATAATAGAGAGCTTGCCTTGAGGGGGACCCAAGAGGAGAGGCCATCTCCCTGGCCAAGGTTGTGGCTGCTCTACCTTAATCATGCTCCAGAGTTATCAAAACATAGCCTTTTTAGTTCACAGAAACAAAATGCTTCTGTTATCCAATGTCAACTTCCTCGTTGTTTCCATTTTAGAAAAAGTGTTTAAATTTTTATCTTCTCTGTCTGAAAAAGAGCAAGTAAGGAGGCCAAAATTCACTGTAGAATGGAAATTTTCTTCTCCATCCAGTAAATTCAAAGAGCATGCAGATACCCAAACCATTGGCATAAATGTTTTGTATCTGGGTAGTAAATCTGTGGTCTATATTATAGTCTCTAGCTCTTGCTGGCTAATACCCTTCAAAACAAGGGTTTGGCCTAAAATTAGTTCTTTCCCATTTCACTTTTTTCCCCCCCCCCTACTTCCTGTGTGGTTGTAAAACTTTCACTGAAATGGTTGCCTCCATAATCAGTCCTTGCAGTTGATCAGAACCAATTTTTTTGCCATCTTTTTGGCTTCTTGGAATGGTGGTGTGAATTTTTTTGTTTCTCTAAAATGAGCGTTTCGCTTTTAAACACTGCAAACACTTTTCTTACAGACATATTTCTTGGAGACTGAGCTTAGAAGCAGTCCTCACCAAGAGAGCTGTGGGAAATGAGGTGTTTTAGCTGGCATCACTTCAGGCTTGCCTAGGTAGGTGTGACTGAGAGCACGTTGGCCTCAGTAGAAGAGGACCATGGGGTCAGCCCACGTAGTGTTTCCTATGGAAATAAACATACAAATCCCACCTTGATCAAGTTACTAGTTCTTGACATTTGTTTTGTGTGAAGTGTATGTAGCTACAGAGGTGTTACTAGGTGTGCTGATTCTGCAGCATGGCACATGATGGCTTTTCAAAAAATGCCTTTTTTGAGGCCCTTTTGTTAGCTTACTGTTCAAACTGTAGGTCAGCATTTTCCCCCCCACACTTTCCCTTTTTTTTTTTTCTAGGATATATATAATCATTATATCTGAAACACATGGATAGTTTCTACTTATATTACTGTTTTCAACTGCACTGTTGTGCCAAGTTAATCTTGGTACAACAATCTTGGTACCATCACAGGTACTCCTTAGCATAGATAGAATTTCACACTGGCCATTTACTGTGTAAGAGTAGCATTCTAATGGATATTTTTAGAGTAGTCTCTATTCTTACATTTCATGGTAGCCATTGCAGGCCAAAATGAACCCAGAATTACTTCTGCCCCTAAACTGCAAGGGAGCAGCAAGTGAGTGTTTCTCAATCAAGGGAGGCTTTTTTTCACAGAAACTTCACAAAACATGTTTTTGACTTTAACATCTCTGTGGAGTCTCAACTCTGACTGCAAGGAAGCAGCAAGTGAGTGTTTCTCCTTGAATGATAATCAAGGGAGGTTTTTTTTCACAGAAACTTCACAAAACATGTTTTTGACTTTAACATCTCTGTGGAGTCTCAACTCTGAAGTTATTAGTTTGGGGTTTTTTTTCTATCTGGCATAACATTTCTTCTCTCTGTTGACCCACTTGACCTTTTTTATGGCCAGAATGCAAGAAGGGATGGCTTGTGCCACCAGAGCCAACAGCAGGGAATTTTTAAGATGGGGTATTTTGCACTCAACAGAACCAGCACTGCTGCCTGCCTGGCACACAGATGTGCTGCTGTTACATCTCCAGTTTGCCCAGCATTGTATTTTTAGTTTGTTATGATGTAGTAAAATAAGCAGGGCAGTTAGCTGGCGTGCTCCTTCGGAATTACACTCATGTGACTGTCTGCCAAATGAATTTATGTCAGCTGATATAATTACATCCCATGGGTGAATTTTTTACATACCTTGAAGGGAGGGTTCTGGTTCCCATTGGGTTTGGTTTGACTTGAGACCACAGAGTATCTGGATTGGGCCTATATGAATGGATGCATATGTTGGCTGCCAGGGAAGTCTGAGGAGTTATGGAAATAATGCTAATTTGCTGTTAATATAAGAAATTCTCTGACCTCAAAAAACCTTGTAAATTCTACAATATTTTTATCTCTAATTATTTCCATTAATTGGCTTCCAGGGAAGTCTGAGGAGTGATGGAAATAATAATGCTAGATTGCTGTTAATATAAGAAATTCTTTGACCTCAACAAACCTTGTAAATTCTATGATATTTTTATCTCTAATTATTTCCATTATTGCAATACAGAATCTCAGGATACTGGGATTCTTTGTACATGCATGGATGAAATAGTCCAAATTTACCTCCAAGTAGAAGACAAAAGCCATCAGATGTATACTGAACACTTAGCAGTCGTTCTGGTTTAGGTTATAGTTGTGAGCTTTCTTTCTAGATGAAGAGGTCTTATTATTGTACTTTCAAATTTGTTCACAACAGGTTACTCCTGTACATTCTACTTGTGATGGCCACATAAGCTTGAGAGAATGTTATTCCCTATTTATGTATACACAAGGGAGATACATTAATTTGCTCAGGCTCTTACAGGAAGCCTGTGACTGAGGGGTAAATCTAGTGCTGGTCACAAAATGTCCATAACAGGTCACAGTTTCTAGATCTTGTCATTCTAGAGATATTGCTGTACTTGGAATGGTGTCTTCAGAGAACAACATGGACTTTTTAATGGAATAAAACTTCATATAAGGGTTGTCCAAGACCACTTGTGGTGTTTGGGGACAAGAAGGTAACAAAGCACGTTGGGGAGAGTTCAACTAATGCTCTTGAATACCTTTCTATACTTTTCTTTACATTTATGCCATCAGATGAAATTTGCTATTTAAAATCAGCATACTCATAGAATTCCTACTGCACGTGCCAGTTACAGCTGTATATTCCACTTTCATTTTCCCTCAGAACCTTCCTACTCGTGGCAGGTAAGTCTTCCAGGCTTGGAATACCCTTGTAAGCCCCTGGCTGGGATTATACACATGCACGTGGAACGTGTTTTTTGTGAGTAATCTGTGCCTGAACTGCTGCCACTCTGAGGGCTCTTACAGGAATACAGGAGAAGGAGAGAATGCTCTTGTGGAATGGGAATGAGGCCTTCTTTTTCCACCTTTTAAAATATTTTTTTTCACTGAAAATTCCTCTATGTTGGGAGAAAACTGTTTCAGAAATTTTAAGTTCGAAATATTCATGTCATATTTATCACAAATGTATCCCATGCTTCCAAAGCTAAATTTTGGATGCAGTGCTACACAGATTCATATAATGAATGTAAAAACAGTGGTTCCTGCAAAAACTATGAAACACTTTGGAATTGCCTTTGTAACTGTGCTTTTATGATTCTTTGTCACTGTTGTAAGTACTTCAGAATAAAGAAGTCATCTGATCTGTGAGAATTTTTAAGGTTAAGTTGATCATTTGGCAGGAAAGAACCACAGGTTAGTTAGTCCAAACCTCCTATTCTACATCAAGACCAAGCTTATGTTTTTCTTCATTTATGCATGTAATGCTTTGTATCTGTCTTTATTGAATGAAAAGTGTGTTTGGAACTATGGCAAAACCCCAGAACTCACTCCTGCTTGTGTTCATGGGGTTCCTTTCAGAGGAAATAAAGGTATCTGAAGACAGCTCATACCAGGTCCCAACACAAAGGGTAGGCACTAAGCTTGGCATTCTGAAAGTACTTTTGAGTCCCCCAGGTTTGGGTGTCACTGGTGTGAGTGGAGTTACACAGCAGTTAAATCTAATGGACTGTTCTGCTCCCTTGTTTCCAAGCTGTACTCCATGGAACAGTTGTTAGCTGTGGAGAGCTGGCTGGTTGCACGGTGTTTGCTTTCCTTCTTTCCAGCTGCTCCAATACATTAAAAGAGTGTAAAAATATACTAAATATTTCCTAATGTTCACTCTCCATAAAAACACCTGCTGTTATTGGCATGGAAAGGTGAATGGCAGAAGTTTTTCATAATATATTGAGCCATTGTCCAAACTCTCTTATTAAGTGCACTGATGGATACTTCCAGCTACTTTTGAGGAAAATGGACCTTATAGTGAATGTATTCCATGAATCTGAGATGCTTCCACTGAATGTCATCCATTTTAGCACAACTGTTGGAAATGATTAAATGACTGACACAAATGTACATGACCTCGTAAAATAATTTGGAAGTTGTGCTGTGTATCTTTCACTGGATAGTTTTTCCCTGTGTTGCAAGAAACAATTGTGATACAAAGGCCTTCAAGCAAAACTGGTTAAATTACCTCTGTTCAGTCAAAATAGCAAGAGGCTACAATTAGAGGGTAACTGGAGTACATGTGAATTATGAAAGCTGAATTCTTTAGTGTTCTGACACTACACACTTGTTTAGTTAATTCATCTCCTCTGTGGTAGAACTTCTAGCCACTTTTTAAACAAAATCTTAGCATGGGGGAATGCTGTCTGTGTGCACGTGGACTCATTTTACAAGCCAACAGTCCTGCACCATCTCCATCACAGGCACAGAGTTACAGGCTTTCTAACGTACTTTAGATTTTAAAGGATTGCTTGGAAAATGCATTTACATTTTGTGGTTTTGTCCCTTTATTAGTCTGTGGATTTTTATTTTTTTCCACCATAACTTTTAGAACAGGTACATGGCTTCGAAAATCATAATGTTTTGCAAATAATTATCCTTGTTTCATGCCCACTATTGATTGCCATGTTATTCTGGATTCTCTAAGATGGAAAACATAATTGCTGTAGAGAGAAGATGAACAGAGTGACCTAATCATAAATGTCAGCAAAAAAAAAAAATGAATAAAAAGCAATTAATTCCTTCAAAGGAGCATTTTAGTTTCCAAAGCTATATCAGGATGACAAGAACAAAATGATTCCATCTGGAAACAAATTCTTTTTCCAAATATATTTAATAAAAAGAAATTACAGGGCAGTCTGCTGCTAGGCAGGATTCATTTTGTCCCAGACAAAACCCTGCAAAACTACTTAGCAGTAAGTTTTGAATCCTGGATTCACACAGAGTGAAAGTGCCTTTGCTGCTCAGTGAGAGTTTAAAGCACCACTTCAGCTTTACAGACATAACACAATTCCCCCTTTGGCTTTGGGCCAAGCTGGTGCACTCCAATGAGTTTCACACATCTAGTTAATTGGGGTACTGCATGGTGAAATCTCAGTTTGGCTCAGCAGTAGGGAAGGAACAACCTTTCTAGGCAAGGAGGCTGCTCCTGAGGAGCAGAAGAGCTCAGCTTTTATTAGAGCAGCTTGCCTGGCTGGCTGGAATATCTGGGCATGCAAGCCCTCTGGCTTCAAGTCCTCCAGGTTCTCCCTGCAGACTTGCACCTGGAATAACCATTGACCATTTGTTTCTGCCTGTATTAGCTTAAAAGTGTAAGATACACTTCTTGTATCTTCAGGAATTGGGAAGCTGCCCTTTGCTCTGCGTGAAATATAGCAGCATAATGGAAGGGGTTAAGAAATGAAAGAACAGGGCCTTAACTTTTGAGTTCAATGTGTTTTGTTCAGCTCTGGGACATTAACTTACAGACACATCTTGCTTCAGTGGGTCAAAGGATGTATTCAGTTGTTCAATGCTGAATAAGGTTACAGGAGATTCTTCCTTCTATCATAGAACATGGTTCAATGTGTTCTGCTTTACATTTCTGGTTGTTAAGGTTTTCAACAAATTCTATATTAGAGACTGAGTACACAGTCTTAGGCACTCATCAGGTCTGGTTTGAAATCTTTGCAATTTTATCTCAAATGATAACCTTGCCTGTGTGTATTTATGTTTTTCTCTACTAAAGGTACTTTACTAAAAGCCTAGCAACAATGAGACACCTACTGAACGTATTGACTAAACATTTAGAGCTCAAACTGTGACAGATTGAAATCCAAAATAAAGTATTCATCAGTCCCAACGTGGAGAATGTCCCTGGTTACCATCCTGAGTAATTACAGTGCAATTACTGGATTTTAACCTTCCACAGACAGAGCTTGTGTGCTGTAATATCCAAAGTGATGGTGCAAGTTTTAAGTGATGATGAGTATGTTGGAGCCTGGGCAGGAAGAACTTCCTTTCCTGTAGTTTTCTGTACATCTATGCAACCTATTTCAATGCTGCAATCTTTTCTTTCAGGTCCAATTTTAAGCTTTTGGCTGTAAATGGAAAGCTTTATGCCATTGGTGGTCAATCCCTTTCCAACGTGGAGTGCTATAACCCAGAAAATGACTGGTGGAATTTTGTAGCATCCATGCCAAACCCTCTTGCAGAATTCTCAGCTTGTGAGTGCAAGGGCAAGATCTATGTCATTGGAGGATACACTACACGAGGTAGGAAGCCTACTTTTACTTCTCCCTTTTTTTTTAACCTCATTAATTCTAAGGCCTGGATAATTTTCTTCTCTTTTTCAGGAAACCATTTAAACTGGTGTAGAAAGCTGCATAATACTCATTAAAATGTATAGAAACAAATCACTGGTAGAAAATAATTGACAAATGGAACAAAAATAATTAGCTCTACTACAGAGGAATCAGATTTGGGTTTTTTTTCAAGACCTACATGGACCTGGGGCTCTATTATTCAGAAGGAACAGGCTGATGAGTTCTTCATTACTTGATCACACAGTAAAAAGAGAGGTCTCAACAGATACACTTTGCTTACTTTTAAGGTACCTCTTTTAGACTGTCAGAAGGAAAAATATGAAGAAAATATCTCCTTGCATAAGTATTTCTCACATATTAATAGGTGTGATAGTCCTTTCACCATAGCATTTCAGTGTTTTGCAGGCAATTTAAAGCTACTAGTAAGACTTTCAGTGCTGAAATAGTTGAATAATTAATCAAAAACCTTAAGCAAGAACCAACCTTTTTTACTTACTTCCTTTCTGTACCCTCTTTCCTGAGGATACTGTACAGAGGGAAGGGTTTGAAGTTGCATTCTCTTCTGACAAGTACTTTTTCTTAATCCAGTGGAAAAGCACACCACTCAAACAGAGTTCTCATTTGTACCTTCCTTAAACACATAGTGCCATTCTTTGGGAGGAAAACCATTTTCTCTGAGTTTTAGGTGTGTTTTTTTTTTTTTCCTGTGCCAAATTTTCAGTACTTAGCAGGATTTCCTGAATTTAAATTCCTATCTCTAGGCTTTTGCCCACTTCATTTGACCATAGTAGTTTTAAGGCTTTTTTTTTTTCCAGATGGAGAATAAAATTAGAATAGAGATCAGCTTATAGAGTACTGCAAGCAAAGCTAAACTGACAAAGTACAAGCTGCCCCTTCTCTGCCTGAGCAGATTTTAGTTCTGCATCATTTAAAAGTTTATAAAAGACACACTTCCACCCCTCATGGTCCTTGTAGTAATGACACCATCAAAAGCATTTTGTCTTGTCTGTTCTGACCCAGAACCTGGTGTCTTCACTGAGGAAAACAAAATGTACTGGTGTGCCTATGTCCATATGGAGGGCTATGCTGTGGTGTGCTCTGCAGTCCCAGTCCTCTGGTAGTCCCCACTAAAGGACCTGTTGGGGTGCATTGTGGTCCCTCTGGCACTAAAGATGTCTGGCACACCACACTTACTGTGATGAAATGTCAGGCCCAAGGGGAAACATCCTTTGAGACAAGAAAGCAGAGAACAAGAAGGGACTGAAACAGAGCAATGGGAGTTTAGACACTGGAGTTAGGGTTTTGTCATTTTTATCTAGAGAAAGAGAAAGAGGAAGTAAGAAGAAAAAGCTGTTACTTGGCTAATAATACAACTTCATGGGAGTACCAGCTTTTCTCCTACATCCCCTGCACTTTGTAAGTTCCTTTTCTGGTGCTTGTGCTCTTCTTTCTTCAGGCTGAGTACTCCTGGTGTCACGGATAGGAAGATCAGCATCTTACTGATGCAGATCCTTTTCCCTTAAAATCCAGGATTGCTGCCCTGTGTCAAGCTCCTTGTTTGGGACTTATTACCTGTTGTTTCAACTGAAGGAGGATGGTCAGTGAGTTACCTCTTTAAATCCAAGACCATGTGGGACAACAAACACTGGTGCTTTTTATAAAGAGAGATCCTTTCCTGAACAAGGATCCCAGATCAGTTTTTCTGTGACACCTTGGCTTAGGACAGCCATCAGACTTAGGAACCAGAATTGCTGCAATTACACTGATGATTCACCTTCAATGTTATGCAGAGGCTGGAGAGTGTTAAGGCCCAACTATCTGAGAGATGCTGAGGTTCCTTTGCCATTTCACTACATAAAACACATGCAACAATGAATAAGTACTTTCTTTTTTTTTTTTTTTAACTTTGTTTTTAGTATTTCTGCATATACCTCAGTTTTGGTAGGTTTTGTGGGCTCTTTTTTTGCTCTGTGTAGAGCTTTCTCCTGAGACTGCACTTTCCAAAAGATGATAGGATCTGGAATTTCCCACTGTAAATTATAATGACACATCTTGAATAAAGAAGTTCCTTCCAATTCTCAGCTCTCACTTATGAACCTAGATCCTCCCTGTGTCAGGCACTAGGATGTGCTGTGGTTTGAATGGGTTGGGATTCTTTCCAGTGGATATAAAAGACTCACTCTGGCCTGAGCAGATGAGGGCCACATTGCAATAGACTTCCATTTCATTTGCCCCCTCTCAAACCACAGCACTTTTTACTACTATAGATAGACATAGAAGCTTAATTGGGGTTTTCCCCCCTTAATGAGTCAGGGAATGATACATTGTAGACAAAGATCATCTATATGTAAAGCTTTGATCAGCAATTTCATAGAGCATTGCCAGGATATTTTCCTTCTTTTTTCCCCCCTTTATTTTGAGTGGCTTAGGTGTTCAAGAATGCAGTGTAAAGTAATAAATAATGGCTGAAGATCATCAGAGTGCAAGCAGATGCCATAGCAGCACCTCCCTAATGGTGCTGCTAATGCACTTCATTCATGACAACCCAGTTATATTTATGGCTCTTTGTGCCTGTGCCCTGAGATAACCTGTCAGTGTGTCACTGTGTGCTGTTCCACTTGGGACCTCATCTGGAGATCATCATGCAGGATAGACTTGTAATGTGGAGCAGATTTTATTAAAAGACCTGGCTGGAGTCTGCAAACCTGTTGCTGCTTGTCACTTGAGTTTAGATTTAAGCTTAGGTCTCCAGAGATTGAAACTGAGTTTATTAGCTAACGAGTCCTGAGTATTCTGTGTTAATTTAGCAAAGCTTTGGACACAGATAGGATCTTCACTGCACCATAAATCAGGGTGGTATTGTAACAATTTTAGAATAATAGTATTGCAAACACATGCATCCACTGAGTTCTGAAGTATAGATAAGGTTTCAGCTTTTTTTCTGTGCCTCTGTCTGTTGCTGGAACATGGAGTTCCTGGTTCTGAAATGCTTTTGAGAATGTGTGTTTCTCTCTTTTATAAAGTACTGAACGTGTGCCCTTAGGTTGTCCATGACACTTGCTGACATGTAATTAGCTTTATAAACTTGATTCCTCAAAACCTTGATTTATGAAATGAAATGCAAAGTATCAAAGTTAAGTTTGCATGATAAATCATCACTTAACAACCATAATGAAGCATGCTGTCCTCATGATAATTTGATTCATCTGTAATCACTGTTGGAAAGCAGAATATTGCTTCATTTCCCGTTTCATAAAAAATTCTTACATTTGAATCAGAGACAAAATTAAAAGCATAATTTAAAAGGTAGGGATTATTCTTCTAAAATCTGCATCCCCAGACCATTTACATCATTTAATGTGTGCCAGAAGTAGCTTAATTTTTCCCTCTGCAAAGGAACAGAACATTCAGACTTCATTGTCAAGGTCAAAGAGTTACAGTTCTCAATAATCAATATTCCCTCCCTGGTCTGCTCTGCTTTTGCACTGTAATGCATTAGCAGTCTGTAGTGATGGGGGATACACTTTGTGGGGAGGAAGAATCCTCCTTGGTGAGTACCTCCTAAGATATTTATTTGTAAAATCTCTCTCCTCTGTTTCAGATAGGAATATGAACATTTTGCAGTACTGTCCCACTTCTGATTCCTGGACCAACTTTGAACTCTGCGACGTCCACGTTCGCAAGCAACAGATGCTCTCTGTTGAAGAGACTATCTATCTGGTAGGGGGTTGTATTCATGAACTTGGACCAAACCAAAAATCCAGCCAGAGTGAGGATGTGTTAACTGTGCAGTCGTACAACACTGCGACAAGAGAATGGCTCTACCTCAAGGAGAACACTTCCAAATCAGGCCTTAACTTGACTTGCACGCTTCATAACGATGGAGTCTATATACTGAGCAGGGACATTACTTTATCTACAAGCTTGGAGCACCGTGTTTTCCTGAAGTATAACATATTTACAGACAGTTGGGAGTCACTAAGGCGCTTTCCAGCCTTTGGACAAAACATGCTGATCTGTTCTATGTATTTGCCTGATGTGAGAGAAGTATAACACCATCAGGTTTTTCTTTCCAGCTCATTAATCATCCCTGAAAGAAATCGCTCCCTCTAAATAATTCCGTTTTCAAAATGTAATGTGTTTGCATACTGTAGGCATAAAACACTGATTCTGTTCTTTAAAAAAAGTTCCAGGATTAATAAAAATGCTTCCAGAAACAGTTTTAAGATTTCAGTTTTACAATTTTACTGTTTTGGATTAAAATTACACCAAATATTGTTTGCAGTTTAAACATGAAATTATGGTGTTGGTAGTTGATAAAGGAATTTCCAAGGCAAAACTGATCAGTCTGGTTTTATTCTCCATCTTAATAGACAATGTAGGAGATGAACAAGAAGCATACATAGTAAAAGTAGAAATAATTCAATAAAATAAATAATAAGTGTAACAAATAGAGGGAATTATTTCTTTTAAAATACAGTTTTTACTCCAACTATTTTCTGTCAAATGCACAATGTTTAAAACTGTACATACTATCACACTTGTATCTCTTCTATGGTAACAGGTGAGATTCTCAAAGGTACCAGCAAGTGGGGTACCATCAAGAAATAAGAACCTCCCCTGAAGTATTTGTGATGAAATGCTTTGCGAGGGATTGGAAGGAGTTCCTTATAGGCTTACAGTTGCTGCTTGGGTGCTATGTGATCCTTTAATGGAAGTTGGCAGCATTTATTGCTACAATTAAAATAAAGGTAAAAAAGCTCTAAATTCAAATGGAGAAATTTGCTCATCTTCAGAAAGGTTTTAAGTTTTAGTTAGCTGAAGTGCTGGGGTTTAAACCCCCAGCCCTGAATGAGGGTGGTTATATGGATGATGTGCACAGCCAGGCAAGAAAGACCCTCCTGATTGGTTTTCACCCAGGGTGTGGCCAGTGTTGGGTGGGAACTGATGAGGAGATCGCCACCAGGTGCCCCCATCTTCCACATGAACTTGGAGACGGGGCAAGAAGCCACCTCTATAAGAGCTGACTCTGCTTGCAGTGGGGTTGGGTGATTTGCTTATTCAGTGCATGTGCTGTGTTGGGGTTCTGGCTATCAGAAGGGCTCCCCAGTTCTTCACAGCAGGTGGAGATCCCAGGACAGCAGGTCCAGAACAAGAAGCTGTCTCTGAGTCCCTACTATATAACTGGGCTCCTGGCCTGGCTGCTCCATTCTTCATGTTCTTGGCTTCTCACCTGGCTCGCTCCCTTCTTCATGTCCCCTGTGGGGGGTGAGGGCA